TGTCCTTTGCTTCGCAGAAGTCTTTCAGTTTCATGAGATCCAAATTGTTGTTGATTTTAGTGCCTGCACTAATGGGGCAGAAAGTCTGTTCAGAAAGTCTTTTCCTGTCTCAATGAGTTCAAAGCTTTTCTCCACTTTCTTGTTTGTCAGATTCAGTGGTTTTATGTTGTGATATTTGATTCATTTGTCACTGAGTTTCTGCAGGATGATAAATATGGATCTATTTGTTTTCTTCTACATGCAGACATCTCGTTTGACTCATACTATTTGTTGAAGATGGTGTCTTTTTTTTTCCAGTGTGTTTTTCTGGCTTCTTTATCAAAGATCAGGCTACCGATGTGTGGTTTTATGTGTGTGTCTTTAATTCGATTCTATTGATTAATCTGTCTGTTTGTGTCTCAAAACTATACAACTTGAGGTTGCAGATGGTAATACCTCAAGAAGTTATTTTATTATGCAGGACTGTTGGTACCTGTTCTGTTTTTGTTGCTGTTGTTGTTTGTTTGTTTATTTCCATATGAAGGCAAAAATTGTCCTTTCAAGATCTGTAAAGGATTGTTTTGGAATTTTTATGGGCATTGCATTGAATCTGTGGATTATGTTTGGCAGGATGGCCATATTTACTATGTTAAACTTTCCAATCCATGAGCCTTCAGATCCTTCTATCTTCCGATATCTTCTTCAATTTCTTTCATCAGTCCCCCTAAAGTTTTTTTTTTTTAATCATACATATCTTTCACTTGCTTGGTTAGAGTTACTCCCAGATATTTTAAATTATTTGAGGCTATTGCAAAATGTGTTGTTTCCCTGATTTCTTTCAGTCTGTCATTTGTATATGGGAAGACTACTTATTTTTGTGAGATAATTCTGTATCAAGCTACTTTGCTGAAAATATCAGCTGTATGAATTTCCCTTTTTTTAGTGTCATTTATGTATGATATCATATTATCTGGAAATAATGATACTTTGACTTCTGCCCTTCCAGTTTGTATCCCCTTGATCTTCAGTTGTCCTATTGCTGTAGCTATGACTTTATAGAAAGGCATAGAGTGGACAGCCTTGCCTTTTTTTCTGATTTTAGTGGAATTTCTTTGAGTTTCCCTCCATTTATGTTGATGTTGTCTGTGGGCTTGTTGTAAACTGCCTTTATTATGTTGAGGTATGTCCTTGTACCCGCAATCTCTCCAAGACTTTTATCATAAAGGGTTGTTGAATTTTGTCAAAGGCTTTATTGTTTTGCATCCAATGATATGATCATGTGTTTTTCGTCTTTCAGATTGTTTATATGGTGGACTGCATTTATCGATCTATGTATGTTAAAACATCTCTGCCTCTCTGAGATGAAGCCAAATTGATTATGGTAGATGTTCTTTTTGATATGTTCTTCAATTCAGTTTGTACATATTTTGTAGAGGATTTTTGCATCTATGTTTATGAGGGCAATTGGTCTGTAATTCTCTTTCTTTGACGGGTCTTTATATTGTTTACGTATCAGGGTAACTCTGTCCTTATAAAATAAATTGGGCAATATTCATTCTGTTTCTAATTCATGAAAGAATTTGAGGAATATTAACTTGTATTAACTCTTCTTTGAATGTCTGCTAGAATTCTCTGTTAAAACGATCTTGCCCTGGGCTTTTTTTTTTTTTAATTAGGAGATGTTTAGTCACTACCTCTATTTCATTATAAGTTATAGGTGTGTTTAAATTGCTCATCTGATCTATATTTAACCTTGGTAGGTGATATATATCCAGAAAATTATTCATTTCTTTTAGATTTTCCAATTAGTTGGAGTGCAGGTTTTTAAAATATGTCTGTATTATTCTCTAAATTTTCTTGGTGTTTGATCTTATGTTTTTTTCTCATTTCTAGTTTTATTAATTTGGATATTTTCTCTATGTGTTTTAGTTAATTTGGATAAGGGTTTGTCAATCTTACTGATTTTTATCAAAAAATCAACTTTTTGCTTCATTTATTCATATTTTTCTTCTTTCTTTTTTTTGCTTTCTTTTTAATTTCATCCTCAATTTTGATTATTTCTTTCTGCCTACTTTTTGGGGGGCATGATTGATTCTTTTTGTTCTAGATCTTTCAGGTATGATAATAATTCCTAATAATTCCTAAGTTCCTAATAATTAATCTCTCCCATTTCTTTATGTATGCCCTTAGTGCTATGAACTTGTGTCTTAGAACTGCTTTCACTCTGCCCCGCATGTTTGAGTGTGTTGTGTTTTCACTTTTCTTCAATTATGGAAAGTGTAATTTGTTTTCCTTTTTATTTGCTTATTTATTTATTTATTTATTTATTTATTTATTTATTTATTTATTTTTCTTCTTCTCTCATATGTTATATCTCAACCACAGATTCCCTTCCATCCCCTCCTCCAGTTTCTCTCTTCACACCTCCCCTCTCCCCTAGATCCACTCCTTCTACATTTCCCTTCAGAAAAGAGGAGGTCTCCCAGGGACATCAACCAAACATGGCAGAATATGCTACAATTAGACCATGCCCATACCATCACATCAAGGCTGGACTAAGCAACCCAGTAGGAGGAAAAGGGTGCCACAAGCAGAAAAAGGAGTCAGAGACAGCCCCTGCTTCCACTGTTAGGAATCTTACAAGAACACCAAGCTAGTCAGCTATAACATATATGTAGAGCATCTAGGTCAGAGCCCTCCAGGCTCTCTGATCTCTGGGAGTATAAATAAGTCCTGATCAGTTGATTCTGTGGACCATGTGTCCCTGTGCCCTCTGGTTCCTCTGACCCTTTCTTTCCTTTCTCTGCAGGATTCCCTGAGCTCTGCCCAATGTTTGTCTGTGGAACTCTGCATCTACTCCCATAAGTTTCTGGATAAAGTCTCATTGGTCTCTTTGATGATGGTTTTTAATTTCTGTCTTGATCAGTTTTTCATTCAGTAGTGAGTTATTCTGTTTCCATGAGTGTGTAAGCTCTCTCTTGTTTCTGTTTTTATAGATATCCAGGTTTAATCTGTGGTGATCAGATATGATGCAGGGTGTTATTCAGTTTTCATGATTTTGTTGAGACTTGCTTTGTGTCCATGTATGAGGTAATTTTTGTTGAAATTTCCAAGGACTGCTGAGAAGAAGATAAATTCTTTTGTGTTTGAGTGAAATGTTCTCTAAATAACTTGTAAGTCATTTTTAAAATATTGTCAGTTAGATCCAGTATTTCTCTTTATTTATTTATTTTTGGATGGCCTGTCTATTAGCAAGAATATGATAATAAAATCTCCCATGTATCAATGTGTGAGGATCAACATATAATTTAAGTTTTAGTAGTGTTTCTTTTATGAACTTAGGTGTCTTTGTGTTTGGTGAATAGATACTAACAATTGCAATTTCCTCCTGGTACGTTTTTCCTTTGATGAGTATGTAGTACTCTTCCTTATCTTCTGATTAGTTTTGGTTGGAATTCTATTTTGTCAGATATTGAAATGGCTACACTGGCTTGATTCTTAAGTTCATTTGCTTGGTATATCTTTTTCCATGAGTTTACCCTAAGATGGCATCTATTTTTGATGCTGAGGTGTATTTCTTGGATACAGCAGAAGAGATATCCTCTTTTTGTGTCCATTATATTAGTCTGTGTTTTTTTTTATTGGGGAATTGATATCATTGATGCTGAGAGTCATCAATGAGCATAGTTTCTTTATTCCAGTTATTTTATTGTGGTGTGTGTATGTGTGTGTGTGTGTGTGTGTGTGTGTGTGTGTGTGTGTGTGTGTGTGTGTGTTTATGATTTGTTGGTCTAGGAAAATTTATTTCTTGTGTTTTCTTAAGTGTAGTTAACCTCTTTAGGTTGAACTTTTCGACTACTAATTTTTTTAAGGCTGGAGTTTTAGAAAGATACTGCTTATACTTTGTCATGTAATGGCTTTCCTTCTCTTCTCTAGATATTATGATTGAGTGTTTTTCTGGCCTTAGTAGTGTGAGCTGGCATCTATGCTCTCTTAGAGTCTGTAGAACATCTGTCCAGCCTCTTCTGGATTTTACATTCTCCATTTACAAGGCAAGTGTTATTCTAGTATGTTTGATGTAATATGTTACTTGGTCTTTTTACCTTGTCACTTTTAATATTCTGTTTCTTCTGGATGTTCAGTGTTTTGAATTTTTGTGCCAAGGAACATTCATTTTTTTGATCCACTCTATTTGATGTTTTTTATGCTTTTTGTACCTTGATAGGGGCATCTACTTCTTTAGGTTAGGGACATTTTCTCCCCCCCCCCCGGAACTCACTTTGGAGACCAGGCTGGCCTCAAACTCACAGAGATCCACCTGTCTCTGTCACCCAAGTGCTGGGATTAAAGGTGTGTGCCACCACAGCCTGGCCTCTTCTATGGGTTTTTAAAATATTTTCTGTATCTTTGATCTGGGTTTCTTAACTTCCTCTATTGGTATTATTTGTAGATTTGGCTTTAAAAGTGTTCCAGACTTCCTGGATGTTTTGTGACTGGAGTTCTTTTAGATTTAACATTTTCTTTGACTAAAGTACCCATATTTCTATGTCATCTTCAGTGCCTGAGATTCTTCCATCTCTTATATTCTGTTGGTGAGCCCTGACTCTTAGGTTCCTGTTTGAGTTCCTAAATTTTTCATCTCCAGATTTCCCTCAGTTTGTGTTTTCTTTTGTTTTTTTTTCTTCTTTTTTGGTTTGGGTTTTCTTTATTGATTCTATTTCCACTTTAAAGTCTTGAACTATTTTATTCAATTCTTCCACAGTTTGTTTGTGTTTTCATAGAATTCTTCAATGAATTCATTTATTTCCCCTTTAGGGAATTTTGTCATATTCTTAAAGCCTATCTTATAGCCCTTGTCTTATGCTTCTGCTGTGTTGCATTTCTCAGGGACTACGGGTTGTGTGCTCTAGTGGGGAAATAAAACTCTGGCTGTTATTGTATTTTTTTGTGAATTGAAATATTTATAGTGAAGACATGTTTCTTTTCAAATAAAAGTGCAGATAGGATCAAAAGCACAGAGACACCAAGCAGAACACACCTAATGCTTTTAAATATAACAGACATTTAAATATCATGTCAGACCTTGAAGCTTGCAGAGACCAAGCTGGTACATTCCATGGAAATCTGTATGGCTCACCCATAGAATTGCTGTCTATATAAAAAAAATTGTGAGTACATATCAACTCAGTACATTTTAATAGCCCTCCCTTCCAACCATTTGTAAAGGAAGAATTGGGGTTTTCACACACTAAGCAGACTCTTCAACTTTGCCTAACCATAAAATTTCACTCATGAACTAGCTAGCCTTTGACAGATAACAGTGACATCTCATTGATTCCTGTCTCCATAAATGAATGATACATTAGGCTAATGTAGCATTTGTTTTCCATTCCTACCTTTCAATACTACTTCAATCTATCTGGAGATTTACTAGGGTAGATGAGAAAGCAGATCTATCTGTTCTTCTTTGATTTGAAATTCATATCCTAAACTGGAGTCAAGATTTAGATTCTGGTACATATTGGGGTCAGTTAATATAGATTTTGAAGACCCACTATGAGAAAAGACACTATTTTAAAATATACAGGTAAAGATGAAAGTACACTAAACATATCATTTTATGTAAATCTAAATATATTAAGCATAATAAATACACACAATATGTCAAATTCACAGCTTTTTAAATTAAAAAATATATCTAGTAGAAAATTTTAATTATGTTGTGACCTACATTGTCTATTAGCTAAACAAAGTAGAGTCAGAAAGCAGTTGCAACACTATTATCTTGTATGAATCCCAGGACAGCAGTGTTTTGAAAAAAAAAAAAAACAAAAACTAACCTGACTCTGACTTTGCTGAATCATCTCTTCTATTCAGCTTTTAAAAAGCATTTAATATAGTTTAAAACACTTTATTAATTACTGATGCCAAATAAAATTAGCTTCTGTTTGTTGATAGAGTGGAAAGGGAGCATGTCAGTTAGTGTGGAAAGTGATGAACACTATGGGGTGAAGGCTGATGTCCTCCAAAAACTGATACTGGATTTTTGTTGTTGTTGTTGTTTCTTTGAGACAGGGTTTCTCTGTGTAGCTTTGTGCCTTTCCTGGAACTCACTTTGTAGATCAGGCTGGCCTCGAACTCACAGAGATCTACCTAGCTCTGCCTCCCAAGTGCTGGGATTAAAGGTGTGCACCACTACCACCCGGCTGTTACTGTTTTTTTACACTTGTGTCTAGGCATCTGGTTTTGGGATGATTGTAATCCAGGTGCTGATATCTGTACTTGTCTTTGTTTTCTTGGTTTCTGTTGCCGTCTCAGGTTCATTCCTTGGTTTCTGTTGCCGTCTCAGGTTCTTTGGAGAGTTACTGGCCACATGTTTCCTGGAAGGAAATTCTTCTGGGATCCTGCAAGGTGTGGCCACTAGGGGTTCCAGATACAATGTGTTTCTAAGTATAGGGAGTTGATCCTTAGGAATTTGGGTGAGCTAGAGGTAATATGATGAGGTGGTCTCCTGCAGGGAGAAAAGCAAGGTCTCCCACCAGGATCTGCTTAGTCTCCTGGAATGTGGGAGAGCAAGGCAAGGCAAAGGCAGTCTGCTAACTCTGGGCACAAGACTGGGGATTGGATTTTGAGGAAAGGGAGGTAAGTATCTTGCCTACCTGTTTTGCTAGTCTACTTGCTTCTTTGGCAGGTTGGCTGGAGGCTTCCCAGGGAATGCCTGCTGGAGTTGGAGGCTGAGACATAAGGATGAATTGGGAGGAATGTTGGAGGAGGAGATATACATGATCCTTTGGAGAGGGGAGGAGAGAGGGAAGGGAGACAGCATATGCATGTGGTCTGCTACAGGACTGTGGGTGAAACTGGAGGATTGGATATGGAAGACAGCAGCAGGAGGTGAGATATGAAAGTAGGTAGTCTCTAGGTAGCTTCCCTATGTCCCTGGACTGCTGGCTGCTGTGTCCCCAGGGAATGCCTGCTGCAAATGGGGAAAGAAGGTTGGAGGAAAAGATCTGCTTAGTTTACTGGTAATGGGAGCAGAGATAAGGGTATGTTACATTAGGTGGTCTGCTACAGAGCTGGAGGTGAGTGTGGGGGATTGGATTTGGAGGAGAGGAGTGAAAGATAAAGATCTGCATTTAACCTACTGCTTTCCTGGCCTTTGTGGACTGTGGGTTCCTGGGGGATGATGCTAGTGTACCTCTGTAGAAAGCCACTAGAGAGCTCACCTAGAGTGCCCAAGGAGTTGAGCAGCAAAGTGCCTAAAGGGAAGAATAGTAGTATGAGATAATATGAAAAGTCGGGTTAAAATCAACATGTGCAGTATCACTCTGTTCATGGTATAACTTTGGATTTCATCTAAAGTACCGTGGAAAAACACTAAGAAATATTAGCAGTGGAGGATCAAGACAACAATAAGTGACACTGACATCTTCATATTTAAAAATCACTCTAGATATTATTTGGAAGTAAGTTTGTTGTAAAAGCATGAAAACTAATAAAGAAGTTTTTTCAGGACAGTTTGAATTTAGGAGGAATAAATGATGAAGGATGCAAGGACTTCAGATCCATTTATACACACTTTGAGGAGACCCAGGCATAGATCAGACCTGAAGAGTTATTGAATAGGAGGAGCATGGTAAGAAATAGTTTTCTTGACTAAGTAAATGTATAAATGATGGTTAATTTAAATAAATTTGAGAAACTCTTTGCAGAGCAATTAGATGGAAGTAAAAAGGAAGCAATCAATACATGTGAAATAGGAGAGAGTTATTGGCCTAGATTGGAGAGGTTCATAACCTATCTACATGCAAGTGTCTTTAAAAAAAGAAAAATTAGCCTGGAATATTGTTAGAACAACATTTAGTTTCTCTCTTGGAATAAGGTGATGTTCTAGTTAGGTTTTTATTGCTGTGAAGAGATGTCATGACCATGGCAACTCTTATAAAGGAAAACATTTAATTGGGGCTTACAGTTCAGAGGTTTATTCCATTGTCCTCTGGCAGGATGTATGGCAGTGCACAGGCAGACATAGTGCTGGAGAAGGAGCTGAGAGTTCTCCCTATCTATCAGGAAACCACAAGAAGAGAGAGTGACACTGGGTTTGAAAACTCCAATCCCACCCCCAGTGGCACACTTCCCCCACCAAAGCCACACCTACTCCAATAAGACCACCCTTCCTAATAATGCCACTATCTATGAGCCTGGGGGTGGAACATTCTCATTCAAATGACCACAGGTGAATATTTAATGATGATTTTTTTTTCTTTGCTTAAACACAGAAAACTTAATCCTTGTATTGAAATATCTAACACCTCCAGTAGATAGATGACATCTGTTTAAATATATTTAGACCTAAATTAGCAGAGCCTAGTCTTGCATTTTCCCTTTTGGTATCCACTGGTTGCTTGTATCTACATATGGGTTCTTGTGCAATTTCCCCTGTCTGTGTTGGCATGTCAGCTGGTGATGTGATTATTTGTATCTTGCTAAGATAACCACATTGTTGAGATTTCATTGGTATCACTTCCCTGTCATGTCTAAAAGACACTATTAAGCACCAGGCATCCTGGTCTTCTGGTTCCTACAATCTTTCCACCACTTCTGCTACGACTTTTACTGTGCCTTAGAAATATGGTTGCACTGTAAATACATCCATTTTGGTTGTGAATCCCATGGTTACTCATTCTCTGCATTTTGTTCAGTTGTTGATCTGGGTAAAAAAGAAGCTTCTATGATGAAGGGCAGGACATCCACTTATCTTTGAGTATATGTGTTTAGAATATAGCTAGAAATTATATTGGTTAATGAAAATGGCAGGAATACCTTCTCCAGTGTCTACAACCTCACCAGCCATGTATGATTGGCAGGAATTACAGTCTAACTGTGATTTCCTCCCTGCCTAGTGAACTTTCACTGCAATTAGAAATTTTGCTACCCTCACAATAAAAGTTCCACTATTGCATGCTTGTGGATATCTTAGTAATCCATCATTAGTCTAGTTCACAGGTAGAACAGCTGGGTAGGACTGTTGGTAGCTTTTCTCTGTTGGCAGCATGCATAGAATATTCTAATACTATGAGAGCTAGTCCTCAGAGAGGAGGCTTCCTTGTGAAATTTAGGTCGGTTCCTCCAAGTCCAATGTCTGACATATGCATTGGCTTCATAAATAGAGTCTCAACTTCAAGTTCTTAGAGGCAACCAACTGGAAATACTGTATGTTGGTTTTGGAGTCTCTGGGACTCCCATTATGAATAATTCAAAGAGGGGCTTCCCATGTCTAACATGGATTTTTTGCTTGATAGTTAATGGCTTTTATGGTAAGCATTATCATCCCATGTTACATAATCCATTAAAAATACATGTTTTTAAATATGTTATGTGTGTGTATTTTATGGAGGCTTATAAAATAATGTTTCCTGCTGATTTTTTCAAACATTTTGACTCTTATTTCCCTTTTCATCCCTTTTATTTGTATATCTTTACCTTTACCTTTCCCATTAATGTCCCCTCCCTTTCAGTTCTTCCATTTCCCCTTCATAGTACCTGTGTCCTACTATCCTCCTTTATAGGGCTCTGTCTGTCCTGGGCCACAGTCTCCTTTTGCTTTCTAAACTTCTGATGTTGCTTTTTTAGCTTGTAGACCCAAACTTAAAAATTCAGAGCTTGGATCTACAAATAGGAGAGAATATGTTAGCATAATACTTTCTATTTCAATTTATCTGCAGATTTCATGATTACTTTTAATTTGTTTTACACCTCAGTAGAACTCCATTATGTACACATATCACATTATCATTATCTATTTGTTGGTTGAAGTGCATTTAGGTTGTTTCCAGTTCCTTGCTGTTGTGAAGAGAGTGGCCCTGAACATGGCTGTGCATGTTCTCTGTAGTGGCATACTGAGCCCTTTGGGTGTATGCCAAAGAGTGGTATCGTGGAGTCATAGGTAGATCTACTTTTAGCTTTTGATTATTTGTCATGGTGATTTTCAAAGAGGCTGCACCAGCATGCAGTTCCACCAACAGTGAAAAAGAGTTCCTGCCCACCCCCACCTCCACATTTCTTTGCCAACATTTGGTGACACTTTTTTCTTGATGATAGCCATTCTGACTAAGGAGAGAAGGAATCTTAAAGTATTGACCCATAATGCTACAAAATGAAGTTAAGTAATACTTTATGATCCTACATTGGGTTGAATTAGTTAACTGAATTTGAATTTTAAGAGTCTAGAATCAAAATGCAGTGATTGGTTTGAATTCTGGGTTTCAAACTAAGTAGAAACCTAACTCTCAAATCCCACTCCTTCTATTCCCTGAAAATGTTCCATCATTTAGGGACAGAAAGAAAGGGAGAGTGGGAAGTCCTTAATATTTTCCCGATTGTTTATATTCCTCCACGAAGGACTGATCAGTAACTATGTATGATCAAATTATTTTGCAAATAGACAACTAATTTAATTTTCTTCCTTTGGGCAGTATACAGGTACAGTTATGAAGTGAAGACATTTTTCCCTCTGAAGCTAACTAGAGTAGACTTTAGATATCTTTAAATTTATGGATATTCTTGTAAGGTGGATTATATTAGCAAATGTGTCAGTGTTAGGCAAAGGCTGGGATACTTTTAGGAAGGAGTTAATATCAGATAGAATCTGGGGCAGCACTTGGTGATTTTGTGCACAATGCACAAAAAAGACACAGCAAAGTCACACATTCATTTTTCATCTTCATGTATCTTTAAAAGCTCTGTTATAAGTACAGGAAATGAAGTATAATGATGGAAATAATACCTGCAGGCATGTTAATAGGCTCACAGAATGCATGCTGTTTCAGACAAAGAAAGGGCTAGAAATAAATTAATTTGCCACAAGACGATAATGTCACCTCCAGTTTGAGTAAGATGATATTTGCCTGCAGAGGTAAAACAATGAATCAATAATCTTTGGATATATTTTGGATATAGAGTGTGTGTATTTGTGTATAAAGACCAACTATATTTTTATTATTATAAATATTATTATTTGTATTTAAGTTTGTTTTATACTTGAATATATGAGTTGCCAATGTTTAGAATCCCCAAATTTGGAGCTGGAGATATGGCTGCCAGCAAAGTGCTTGCAGGGCAAGTCTGAAGACTGGAGTTCGATTCCCAGCACCAATGTAAAAAGTAAGGCATGATGGCTCTCACCTGTCATCCTGGTGTTGGGAGGCAGATACAATAGGATCCCTGGAATTTTCTGCCAGCTCATCTTGCTAAATGGATAAGTTCCAAGTTCATTGAGAGACCCTGTCTGAAAAAGTAAATTACAGAGTAGTTGATGAATGCACTCCAGATATTAACCTCCGACCTGTACATACATATATACCTACACTCATGCATTCACATGTGTGATACATGTACACCACACACACACAACATAATAATAAATAATAAACAATATAATAAATTATTATAGTACAAGGGAGAGTTTTAATAAATAAATGAGGAATTGAAATATAGTTTTACTTTATAAGCAAAAAAAAAATCTTTCTACCTGTATTGCAAAAAAGAAAATGAGCCACTGGAGAATGATGAGCTTTAGCAAGCCTTGTTACAAGGGAAGTAGGATTATTTTTTCACATGATAAATATGCACTTTATTTTTCATATGACATTTGTTGCATACCATGGGATTCTATTGCTTTAAGAGGTGAAAGAAAAAAAGCTGGACCATAGCATTTGAATAAGTCTCCAAAGCAGTGATAGAAACTAGAGTAAGTGGAGGATCTAATGTGTCCTGTCCTAGACTTGCAGCTGATAAAGCATAGCTCTATTTTCTGCAGCTTTAAATGACAGCAAACTAATATGTTGGGAAATTGTCGTGCAAGTGGAGATAACTATTGTTTCAACATTTGATGAGCAGATTGAAGCACAAAGTTGGGTATTAGCCCAAAGTTTAAGTACTCAGTAGGAAAACAACTGAAGCGAGAAAATTGACTTCCATTTGGGATGGGTGCCCAGTGCTCTGAATACACTTGCTTGTGGTAACTTCCGAATCACTGGGGCCATATGTTCCCCCTGACCTTTGGTAAATAGAGCAAAGAGAATCAGGACAGCTTGAAACAAAAACCACCCTCAGGGCTTTACTCAGCACAACTTCTGAAACACTCAACGAGAACAAATCTTAGCAAAGTTTCATAGAAATTGATGCAATACTAAGATGATCAGAATATTATTGTAAATATCACATAGATTCCCCCTAATATACCATGACTATTCAGGGAGTAAAGATAGAAAATAAGAAGAGTCTGATGTTGCCTGTAGGACTGACTGAGCCTGAACAGGCAGAGGAGTGGAGGAGGCATTGCCTCCTTTAGATCCGTGAGGAGCTAGGATACTGCCTTGGAGAAAGTAAGGACAATTTACAGAAAACAACAAAACACCTGTTCCGATGTCAAGGAAGAACATATGGTTGAGAGATAAAGAGAACATTTCTTTCTCCAGGATCAGGCATTGATCCTTAAAGGAATAAGTTATCATTAAAGTTTTGCTATTTTACAAGCAAAGGATGAACCTGATATTGTTAATACAGTTTTAAGGCTTATACGTTAATGGTTAGGATACAGATCTAACTTCCCTATAATGACATGTTGATTAATAATGAACTATATATGCAATACCGTTCTGTCAGCTTAAAGTGCACCTGAAAATTTATCACCACCCAGTAAATGCACAGCTGAAGGAAGGAGAGGGAAAAGGACAAGTCAAAACATGAAAAAAAAAAAAAAAAGAACACTCACAGAGAAGATTCTAAAACTGTAGACCTTAACATCAATATGCTTTTATTTGTAAAGAACAATGTACTAATCGTCTGCTATATGGACATAGAAATAAACTGCCCCCTAAGTTCTTATATTTTGGGCCATGTATTAGTAATCTCTTAACCCATATTAGGAAACTTCTCTTTGTAGCAGATGGCAATTTATGTAGAGACCAACAACCAGTCAAGGTATTGGGGAGAATATAGAGGATTCAGTACTACATGGGACACCTATAACATACCCTCTCCCATCATGACTCAGAGACAATCAATGAAGAGTGGAAATATAAGAGTCATAGGGAGTGGATGTCTGTAGTGAAATATATTTGGCAGATATGACAGGTACAGTTGTACACATGAACTCACAATGGCTAATTCTGTATGCATGAGTTTGTACAAGATTAAGTCAATCAAAATCCCAGCATGGATATGGGAAACACTCATAAATCCCCCCCCCTACGCCCCATCTTAGGAACTATTGCAAGTTGATGGCTACTGGGAGAAAAAAAAGTTTATTTTCTTCAGTGACAAATAACTGAGAAGCTACCCATTCTCTAGTAGATGGTCCAACATCGCACACATATAGAGAATGCAATGGGTATAAACATACTATATGCATATATGAACAGAAAATAAAACATCTAAAAAATTAAAATGGTGGAATTGTTTTGTTTTTGTTTTTAATGTTTTATTCATTTTACATACTAACCACAGATCCCCGTCTCATCCCTCCTCCTGCTCCCCTCACTCCCTGCTTCCTCTCTGGCCCACTGCCCATCCCTTCCTCCAAAAGGGTAACTCCTCCCATGGGGAGTCAGCAAAGCCTGGTACATTCAGTTGAGGCAGCACCAAGCCCCTCCCTCCTGCGTCAAGGGTGAGCAAGGTGTCCGACCATAGGTAATGGGATCCAGAAAGCCAGGTCATGCACCAGGTCCTGCATAGGTCCTGATCCCACTGCCAAGGGGCCCTCAGACAAACCCAGCTACACAACTGTCTCCTGTATGCAAAGGGCGGAACTGTTTTGTCAATGGTCTGAGTGTATCATTTTGGAATTTTGAAGCTCCTTAAACACTCCTGTTTTACCAAGGGCAGACTTGTAATGACTAAGAAAGAAACAATGTGCTATCCATAGTGTGTTAAAAATTGTGGGAATATGAAAACAGAGGAAACACTCATCTGAGAACTGCTATTATTTGGAGGAACTAGTATTTTCTAAGATAATAACTTATTTTGTTTTGATCATCACTATATATTTATGCTGTACTATTAACTTGTAAGTTCAAAGTAACCTAGACACAGCACTTGCTACTGTGTTTATGTACATATTTGACCATCAAGTCCCTAAAGTACTAGAAACTAAATGGTAGTAATGGTTCTACATTTGAAAATCTTATATGTATGTGAATAATTGTGTGTTAAGATAACATACACTTATTCATCTTACTAATCTCTCTGGAAATGCTCAGTCATGAACTATAATTTTTTAATGTTAGGATGCCTACCTTGCTCAGCCTTGATGCAGAGGGGAGGGGGTTTGGTCCTGTCTGGACTGAAGGAACCTAGCTTTGTTGACTCCCCAATGGAATGCATTATCCTTTTGGAGGAGGAGATGGGGAGTGGATCTTAGGGTGTGGAGAGGCTGGAGGGAAGCAGGAGGGGGGATGAGAGGGGAATCTGTGGTTGGTTTGTAAAATGAATAAAACAAATTACCAAAAAAAATGCTTAATCCCATCTAAATAGCATATTAGAGTTGCTTTGCTTTGTGGAAATGTATCTAAAAGTAAAATGCAATTGGAGCAGATATTAATGAAGCATCTGTTTTCACATATTGATGGAAAGATATTTGTAAGGTTAAAATTGAGGTCAAGATGAGCACTGCAGCATCTGATTAGGCTGCTTGCTCCAGGCTTCTAGACTTTTACCCTGCGTGCTGGCTCATGGGTCTACCATGATGTCATAGACTCCTTTACTAAGCTTTCAAAAAATAAAATGCATTTTGGTGTGTTATCAGTGGTTGGTTTAAACAATATAGCATTCAACAGATATTTGCAATTTTTAAGAAAAGGAATTAGAACATTAGACATAAAAATTCATGGCAACACTCTCTGAGAAAGCTGATGAGATCTAAGAGCAGGCTCATTTTGCTTATTCCCCTCAAAGCCACAGACATAAACTAATGCTCATGAGTATCTGTCTTCCACATTGCCCATCTTTCCATAATACTCAGTTTTCTTCCACTGTTAAAACCTTAAAGTCTTGAAAGTGTCTCCTTGATTAGAAAACATACTGTGAAGTGTGACAGGTTATAGTCTGCAGAAGCATTTATTTAATTAGCAAAGGTTAGTGTAAGCTTTTGTTTGAAGCAAGTAATAAGAAACCCAGGAGTTCATATATAATTCTAATATACTGTATATTCTTACCAAATATATGGAGGCAATTTATAAAGTACTGATTAATTTTGTAGTTAATTCCAATATCAAACTGTTACAACTACCAGGTACTTCAAGATAGTACATTTAGCTATTCTCTATGTCCGACAAATAAACATTTATTTCACTCTGATGAGATGAGTAAATTTTAAGTTTGAAAAAATTATATTAAATGTGTGGGCTGATTATACTAACTGCATTAGTGAAATTAAAATAATATCTTCCAAAATTTATTGTAAAGTGCTGTTTCAATATGATAACATTCTTCTGGCATATTTGATGATATGCTTTGTGGGATGCAAAATTTTTACTTTCTAAAAAATGTGTAAGCTTTTTATATAGGAATGATCATATTTAATCAGAATTAAAAAATATGACTTAGCATTTGCATTTTCTTGGTGCAATTATAGAATATTGTAAGCCAAGAAAGTTAAAGTCTTTACAGGAGTAAGCTTGCATACATCTATAGAATATTTAAAAAAAAGACCATGGTTATATTAGGTCTATTCTTTTGCATTATTTGTTTATAAATGAATTTATGACCAATTTCAAATTTTATAAATTGGCTGTAAATATTTATAATCTATTTTTAATATCTTACAGTTTTTTCATACATTTTAAAGCTGTTTTGGGTAACAATTAAAATGTAGATATCTAAATTTGATTTGACTATATAGTTAAATAATATAAACTCAGGTCATTTTAATTATAATTTATTTTATTATTTTATTTTTGCTAATCTTATTCAGTACTGAGACATATATATATAAAACTATACACTGCTGCATATTCATTGTGAACCAAAGAAAGATTATATATAAATTAATAGAAATAAGGTGCTATTCTCACAAGCATGCAAATATTTTCAGTTCTTCCTTTCCTTTTTTTTATTTTTAACACATTTTTATTTAAAATTCTGCAAACTTTTAAAGATAGTTTTGATAACTTGATTAAAACATGGATGTCTAAATTTGATTTGTTCCCTGATATATTTCTCTTCAATCCCAGGGGTAGAGACCATTATATCCATTCTTTAGTTCAGTTCTATAAGGAATGGAGACCA